AACAAACTTAATTCATAACAAACAAACTTAAGTTTGTTCGAAAAAAATAGATAAAACTGTAATCAGCGACTTGTAATCTTTCCTCTAATGAAAATGTCGATGTTTTGCATGTACAGGTATCTTTAAATGCCAGCTACGACACTTAAAACCTTGTAAGAAATAGTGAATGAAAAATTCTGTCTCCTTGTGATGAAGTATTATGATAAAAAATATTATGAGTGGTTGAATTATTGAAACTGTTCTTTTCGCCATCAGGGCAAATAGAAACAATATAAACTAGAGGGGCATTCAGTGATGCGCATACCTCCTCCATGCAGCGTTGATCATATTCTACCCTCAAAAAAATACGAAAATGTGTCTATATGTCCGTAATTATCAACGGACACGGACCATTTTTGGCAGATCAATGGGGAATAATATTCTGCATATGTACACCAATATTCATCAAAATCAGATCATTTTTTACTGAGTTATAGAGCAAAAAATGGTGTGAAAAATCCGTCCCCATGTTAACAGGTAGGGATTTTTTAGGGTTTTCATGACCTTTTTGTGACCTTGATCTCGACCCTTCAGAAACTAATTACTTCTAGATTGGGTCATAGCCCAAATGTATATACCAACTTTCGAACAAATCCTTTCAGCCGTTTTCAACAAACACACACAAATTAACACAACACACAGTGGGGAAAACATAACCTCTGTTCCCTTCAGTGGCGAAGTGAATATCCTGCTGCCCTTACAACACATATGAAAGCTATATTAAAGGTAAATGGTACCTTATTTATTACAGCTCTGTTCATTTACGTTTCGCGTTTTAACGAAATTCTCGAATACAACTTATTTCTCTTTTTGGCTACCTATAGCTCCCATATTCTTTCTTTTTTGAGCAGGCGAACAGAAAATATAAAACAAAAACGAACATTATGCTACAAATTATCGTCATAAATGTTGCCCAGTAATTGTGTTTAGATTGTTATTACTTTACAACAAAATGTGCCTTTAAGTACCTACTTTATTGTCTGCTAACTAAATAGAATCAGATAGACAGATTTTCAACTTTTCTTTCGTTCTTCCATATTTTAAAAATATGTCGCTTCGTTCGAGCGTTTTTACTGTTACTCAACAGTGCTTTCAACTATGCCTATTCATAAACAGAATGTTATTGCGTTGTTTCATACACAAGAAAAATGGCATAACAAGAATTTATATTTTTTAAACTTTATAAAAATAGTTAGAAATATCACTTGTATTATTTGAATGAATTACTAAATTGTTTCTATTATTGTTGTTGATTTTAAACCTTAATATGGTTGTGTTTAGAACCCTGACAGATTTGACCACAGTAAAGAGCATTATAATTGTAATTATGTTGCACAAATTTCGCACCTTCCTTTTCTACGCCCTGCAAATAAATTATCTTGATAAGATCATGGATTATACTTTTACACTATTACAGTTATTTCAAATATAGAATCATACAATCCACAAAATGTAAGAAGAAAAAAATAGGTAAAATCAAAATCACCTGAAAAATATGACTCTTTGTTATCATCTTGGTTCTCTTGAAGCTGAACTAAGTAGGCGTCCACAAAGTCCCGAAGCTCCTGTGGGTCTAGAGTGTGCTTGTGTTCCTCGGCTACTTCTTGAAAGTATGCTGCTGTCTCTTCACGGTTCTGTTTAATCTTTTGGTAAGCGTAGCTACCACCTGGTATGTACCGCAATACGGGGATGAAGTTTACGGGAACGGCCAGAGTTAGTAAACTAAACCCTTCTTCTATGAGCTCCAAGAGACGTGTGAAACGTGTATCTTCCTTTGAATAAGTGACACTCATTAGTAAAGAGCCAACTACGTTACTGACGGCACGTGCAATTGCTGCACGTGGTCTGTAAGGAGTCCCGTTTAGCTCAGAAATTCCATATAAAAATTCTAAGACTTGATCCTAGAAAAAAAACAAAAAAAAAACTTGGGCGTTATTCATACGACAACGAATAATAAAGAACTTCACGATACTCAACATGAAAAATTAATTATTAAACGATAAGTATTTAGATGTAATAGTTATTTTCATCTGATTAACAGTTTTCGTAAGTTGTTTTTTAAGAAACACCGCGGTTAACGTTTTTTTGTGAAGTTCCTTTAATATTATAATTAAACGTACTTTACATAATAGAGAGAAAGCACATTTTAAATTTGTGTCATAGTTTAGGTCTAAAATATTATCATCTTTATTAAAATCGTTTATGAATCAGTGATAAAAACATCTTTACAAACCTTCACTTTTTTTTCAAGAGCGGGCTTTCCTGGGCCAATGTTTTTCGCGCCAAATTGTCGCATGACGCAATGAAGAAATGCACGCTGTTCGCGCCACAGAGCTCCAGACGAATTGATGATACCTGCAAAAAACATAATCCAAATATATTTCGTTCAATTAAAAAAAAATATTGCGACCTATATAACGTTCTTTTGAATAATGTGACAAATTGAAAGTTTGGATCAGCATAATCTTGGGAACTTAATACGTAACTTGTCCCAGAAGGAAAAGAAATACAATTGTAATTTCAACGAAGTGAATTATAAATACAGTAACAAGCTGCAACCTTAGTTAGCACTGCTCTGAACTTTTGCAGAAAAGTAGCTTCTACAGGGTGCGTTTACTGTGAACATGATTATAAGAAAGAAAGAAAAGAAAAAATATGCAAATAACCGTAAATTCACGACATTATATTGTTTTTTGTTGTAGTTTCTTTGGCAAAAAATATTGTAATCATAATATATATTTAGAAACTGTTTTTTACCCCATAGATAATACCAAAATAAATAAATCCAAAACACTTTTAACAAGCTATGCTTGCATTGTACAGTCAGTCAATGGTCACAAACACATCCAGTTTCATTGAAATATAGGATATGGATACAAAATAATGCGGATATATGTTGAGATGACTTAAAATGAATATACACAGAAGAAATTTAACAATGTACATATGGTATGAACTGTATCAGACAGTGACATTAATTTTAATTCTAACTGCGTTACTGTAATCTCTGAACACTGATGTATACACTGAAGTAAAATTAAAGGTAAGTGGAACAGTGTTTTTATTTATTTGATAATTGATAAACAAATCCACGAACAATAGATGGCAGTGTTGGTGATTTAGCGGGATGCTGAAAGTGCGTGAATCTGAAAGGGTAAGTTAACTCATCAGTGCTGCCATCTCTTGTTTAAGATATTTATCAATTAACTTGATCACATGCCTAATTGTGTATTATGTTTTTAAAGCACTGTTCAATTTTGAACATCTTTGTTTTTCCGGGATAGTAATATATTTTATAGAGCTTCTTCTTTTTAAGCATACTTTGGAAAGATGTAATATTTTGTGGAATTTGATTTGATGTTGAATACTTTGTGTATTTGTAAATATACCAATTTTTTGCTCATTCTTCATGTATACATTTTATTCATGCGAAATTTTTGGCAAGCAGTTTTTAACGAATCTTGAGATTATTTTAATGCTGTTTTTAAAATCTCAGTTGACGAATATTTTATTAAGTTTTTGCGAGTTTGTTAAGTATTTTCCTCAACTATTTTCAAGTGAAATGACAAGTTCTTACGAGCTTTTGTAATTCATATGAACTTGAACGAATCTTAACTGTATTATATGTGTTGAAACTCTGGAATAAAATGTAACAGAGAGGAAACTGGTATACATATTTAAGCAAATGAAAGGTAATTTTTGTGGCTGTAAGTCAATATATTAGAAAAATCAAATGTATTTGGTTATGTGAGTAAAATACACTATATCTAACTAAACGATATAACTACAATAATATAAAGTAGTATTTGCATAGACAGCCACGTAAGTCTGTGTAATATTCTTTGTCATGGAAACCAAAGATATCCGTTATCCTCTATTTAAGTTGTTGAACCAGAGGGAACTAGTGAAGAGGAATTTGTTTTTAATAGAATTTAGCAAGTTGGAAGAAATAAAATAAACTAAAATTAATGCAAGTTGCATATTATTAAACCTTCATCTCATTACTAAAAAGTTAATTAATCGTCCCTAAACCATTTCAAGGGGTGCTGATTAAAAATCTTAAGCATTTATTTATATGGACTTCCGAACACTAAAAATAACTTCAAAATTGTCTATAGCTTCATTTGATACGAAGTAAATATGATCATTAATACGCAAAAAAACAACAACAAAAAACAAACAACAACAACAACAGTAATTTAGATTGATGTTTAATATTTTTAATGATCATTTGCTTGATTAAGTAAATGTTCTATTCATTTGTATTAAGCAGAACAGTTTGAGTCATTAAACCCTAGTCATATGGATTAGCAAGCCCTTGTCAGGTTGTGGATTTTAGTGAAAAAACGAGGAAGCGTATTCTAGGTGGGGAGTCAAGGCAGGCAAGCTGCATAAGCCTACTTGTTTTTGTGTTTCATTAAAGATTAGTTAAGGAGTCAAGACCGGCCAGCTTCTTATGTCTGTCGGTTTTCGCGTTTTATTGAGGTTTGTTTAAGGAGTCAAGACCGGTCAGCTTCGTAAGCCTGCCTGTTTTGATGTTTCATCAAGGATTGGTCAAGGAGTCAAGCCCGGCCAGCTTCGTAGGCCTGTCTGTTTCGTGTTTTATGAAAGATTGGTTAAGAAGTTAATGCTGGCCAATTTCGCAAGCCTGCCTTTTTTGTATTTTATTAAGGATTAGTTAAGAAATCAAGACCGGCCAGCTTCGTAAGCCTGTATGTTTTGTGTTTTATTAAGACTTGGTTAAGGAGTCAAGGCTGGCTAGCCTCATAAGTTTACCTGTTTCTTTTTTCTTCAGGATTGGCTGAGGAATCAAGGACAATTTCTTTTTTCACACCTTGTGTGAAATCTGTCTGATTTTGTATTACTATTTCATGTTTTTCTGATCTTCATTTATAATTCACACACTCCCCCTTCACTCCTCCTTGTAGGAGCTGAATCGCCTTTTGAACTAATACTAATAGCTAAGAATATCTAGGAGTTAGCAAACAATGGTTGAAGAAACATGCATTGCCACTCTAACGAACTGAGATTTTTCGGACTATTAAGCCTTTGGTGGTGTATGACCTCAATTATCACATGAAAATAAACCTTTGAATATTTTTAATGTTTGTATACTCACAATGTTAAAATATTGATCATGCTAGATTAGTTTGTGTTTAATATTTATTAGATACACGTAACTAAGAATCTAATATTTATTAGATACACGTAACTAAGAATCACATCTAATTATTCTCCACGTAGCAACTAATTTGAACTAACTAATCGAAATGGTTTCATATGGATGCAACTATCTAGACACTCTTTCAACTGAACTCTCAGATTACCGACTTGTTTTAACACCGCGCACTATTGACTGGGTCAACCTATTACGTTGTATTGAGATATTTTGTTCTACCTATTACAACACTCAGTGAAAAGAAATTACGAAAATATCCTGGGAAATCACTCATTTTCTACGTAAAATACATAAAGAACACAAGCAAAAATTAGTGCATTAGCTGTAATATTCATTTTATTTTTTATTTTTGTTTTCTACAGCTCATATGTTACCAAGCAATTTGAAGCATAATAGTTTAGAAAATGTTTTTAGAAATCTGATTTCCATCAGTAATTCTACCCTTAATTAAAGTGTTTTGAGTAAAAATCATTTGAGTGACTTTGTTGATGTCTGATACAAAAAGAGTACCTCAACCGAATAATAAGAAAGTGTATTATTTGTATAAAAAGGAAGAAACTTTCTTGAATTTCAATTATTTTGAATGGACAGTAAAAATACGTTGTAATGAAATGTCTTTTAGGGCACTTTTAGCTTTTCCCTTAGTATCGAGGATGATGTTACTTGTCTTGTTTAATTTGCATATATTTCTTTATATTATTTATGTTGTTGTTGTTTATAGAAACACAATTCAGTTTTTACTTTAGAATTGCGTTTTGAACACGGGTAATAAATATATAAATTTTAGGATGAAGTGGTTTTTGTGAAAACATGTTTGAAAGGTTAATGAATAGACCACAAACATACATGGGAATTCCTCAAACACAACAAACCTGACACACTCGTACGAAGTACTTTTTATCTTGAAAATTGCTTCAGAAAAATAACTGTCACCAAATATTTTATCTTGGAGCACATGATAATCATGATAAACAGTTGTTATGTCACACCATGATGGAACAAACAACAGAAAAAAATTCATAAATCTCTTTACTTTTTAATGTTTATTATATCACTGTATAAAGGTTATAGAAAAATTAAAATTAACTAATAATTCCTCTTTTCAGAGTGAACTATAAACTCACCATAACCTTGCAACAGTTTCGTAAGTTCGGTGTCCGGACGGCCTGAAAACACATTCTGACGGAACGCTTGCCGAACCATCTGAGGCTCATTGAGGACCACTACTCGTTTACGGCCTAAAAACATCTGGTAGATGGGACCATAACTTCGAGCTAGTGAGGTTAGGGTCAAGTGGAAATCCCTACCCAGGAAAGGAAGAGACCCTAGAAGTGGAAGGCCGCGTGGTCCAGGAGGTAGTGGCAGTCGGCTGTGGCAGAAAAACGTTAGTCGTGTTAGAAAGAGGACCATGAAGAAAACAAGAAACAGCGTCACAGTAGAAGGAAAATATTTTTGGAGGGACTGTAGAAGTTGGAAAGTGTAATTAACGAATAGACTCATGTCAACTGTAATGAATGATTTGAGGTTTGCTCTTATGAATAATATATGTTAAAGCACGCTATGGTAGCGATGAGACCGAATATCGTGAAATAAACAACCGATACTCTGCCTCTCACTGGCTAGGATGGAGAGGCACTACTTGCACTGCTTTTATAGAGTTGGTCGAAGGTTAAGCTTTTGGCGGTAGACATATCCCGAGGTGGTCGAGGGACGGTAATGTTTACCTGGGCCCAGGTCTGGCCTAGAAACGGGCGGTGGGTGGGCTCTATCCTGGGGCGACCAAGCAGGCAGGCAGAACTAAGCCAACTGAATCACTGGGCCAATTTCTCTAGATGACGACACAACTCTTATTGGAAGAAAAATTAATAACTTATAAAAAATTGAGTTTAATCAAACTAGTAAGGGTATGTGTTTGGAATGTGTTAGGGAAGTGAAGATTTCTAGTCGTGCTAACGATAACTGTTAATTGAAATGATGGAGAAGTACTTTCTCACCAGAGGTCATTCACCCCAACAAGAGAACTGAACACTTTTTAAGGAATGCGGTTTTATTTATGTTAAAAACAGCTTTTTAAATAATAATTCCTTGCTCTGCTGTTTATTTTTATAAACACAATAGTATTCCACTGATACAGAGGCAATACGAGACCGTTTTTGTTAAGAGTTTGAGGATTCGACAGTGATTTATATTGTGTTAATGTTAACTCGAAAGTTATACACAGATCAGAGAAAATCTTAAAAAAAACATGAAAGGCAAGAATAGGCGTACTGGAAGATTTCCAACCACACATTCCATTGCATAACATTTAGAAAATACATAAATACAAAATAGTGTTTAATATAGTGCAGAAGACACAACATCTAAGTCCAAGTGTAATGTAAACGGTAAATAACTCATCATATTTTCACTAGCATGTAAATAATGTAGCTTAGAAATTACTATGTACTTTTTTCTCTTTGAAACTTTTCTTACCGAGATTCTAGGGCTCTTACAACCACGTGGTTAGTCTTCGTGCTGTAATTGATTTCATAATTCCTTCGGTAATATTGTTGCTTAGTTATGTTGAAACAGGCTAGATAACATCATACATGGCCGTGTTGAATTAAGTAGATTAACATTATTGAATGTGTGTCAGTCACGTTTTATTGTCGCTAAAAGCATTTGTGGTGAGTAGTTAACAACATTTACAAGAATGGAGAAAGTCCTAGCTACTACAAACTACACAGCATTTTCTAGTTGGAAGAGAAAATTTATACAAGTTTGAAGTGTCCTTTGCGAAATTAAAATCACAGGTGTGGATATTTGACAAACTCTTCCACTTTGTGACAAAAATGCCTGTTCAGAGGCTGTTATCTTTGATCTGTTTCTTAAATAACATATGAGATAATATCTGTTGTTATTCACTTCCTGTTAGTGGGGTCAAAATATGACTGGAGCTTATTAATATTGTAGTGTGTTTGAAAACATGTAATTAAAAATGTTCCATAGTTTTATAAGAAACGTTATAAAATCCCCAAAGCTTTCTTTCGCTCTTCAAACCACCTCAGCATTATCGAAACCTGTTATTCTACATTTTTCTTTCTTTTCTTTAATTGGCTAAGACTCAGAACGTAAGTGTAAGTTAAACACGATGGCTATAAAACGATTTGGAGCTCTAATATTTTATTCAGTTGGTTGAAATGCACACAACTGTAACACAATTTGTCACCGAAGAAAATTATTTATTTAATAACATTTATGCTTGTATTTTGCACAAATGTTTAGATACACATAAAAGATGATAAATGGATACAATATATATATATATATTCATCTTGTAGCTATACTATGACAACGACAGCGGCTCCGCTGTGTTCGTTAAACGGTCGTTGACCCTAAATACTGTACACACAAATGTGTGTCGCTCTCTTTACACACCACTCTCCACTGACTCTAAGGTTCACACCTCAGCCACGGAACCCCAGAACTCACAACATTGAACTCCACAACGTTTTCATTGTCCTCTAGTATTATAGTAAGTTTTCATTTTAAGCAGAACGAATATCACTTCAAATGGCGTTAAAATATTGTTTTCAGGAAATGTAGAACTGTGAACATATGACGTTTCCTTTAACAATATATATATATATATTGATCTAGATTAGGATATATCTGTTCGTTATGTATGTACGTTTCTATGGAAACTCAATCATGACAGAGTCGTAATATATCAGTTCGGTATGTATGTATGTACACTTCTGGTGGCAACTCAGTCATGACAAATTCCTAATATATCAGTTCGGTATGTATGTATCTACACTTCTGGTGGCAACTCAGTCATGACAAATTCCTAATATATCAGTTCGGTATGTATGTATCTACACTTCTGGTG